TTTGACCTTGACCTTTTGTCAACTCCACAAAAGAATGAGTTCTTGTTTGTGGTCATTTCTAATAAGAAGGATTGAGTTTTACGAATATGGTAGATTTCATGTGAATTGGGTAACAAAATCCCAAAAAATGAAATTTAACCCAAAATTCATTCTATCATAAAGAAAATAAGAGCCACAAAGAAACTATATATGAAACAACAACTGTTCAAGCATAAAGAGAATTGGTTCAAATCTCGTGGTTTGTAGCGTTACTTCCCTAAGTAGGCTAGGTTAATCCAATGTGTAGGAAATCTATATATATAAGTGAGGGGAAATGCATGTCCACAACCAAGGAATTTTTTGGTGGCTATCCAATTCTTATAACGGTAGAATTTTAAATGTCAAAATAGTCCGGTACTTAAGATGTTGGTGCAATCTTCTTGTGATGATATGTGAAGCTTGTTTGGAAGACAAACTGATTTATTCACTGCACAGAAGGAGAACAACCTAAAACTTTTAAATATTAATTACTATAATTATGATATGAAAAATGCTAATAAAAACCATTATTAGAGTTATTAAAGGTATATACTTTAGATTTTAGGCATTTTTAAGATCAAATTAGGAATTTAAAATTTTTTCATGGATGTTGAAATTTTATAGTAATATAGATATAGACAGATATATTAGTATTATATATATTATAAATTGGATGTACACTGAATATTTATTTTTTGGAGTGTAGAAAGATATATAGATATAGATATTTATATAGATTATTTATGTGGAAATGAAAGTATATGAATGGTTATTTGGATATTTAATTGGTACAGAGTAATTAAATACTTAATGATATAGTTGTCTTTAATCATTTTTATAGAGGTATTATGGTCAAACAAAAGTTTTTCACTTTTGTTGATATTTTATAGTAGTATACATACTACTCAAAATGAACTATTAAATGTGCTTCCCATTTTTTATGTAGCCCCATTTGGTAGAGTCTTTAATTAGTGAAGCCATGAAGTGATTAGAGATCGAGAGAGGAAGACATATTAGATACAATCATCAATTCTTTTACCCCCTGTTTGGTTGGAGGGAAAATAGGGAGGATGGAAAATGGAGGAAGGAAAGTGAGAGAGAATGAAAATCTTTCCATTGTTTGGAATGGAGGGAAAATGGAAGGGAAATGCTTTCCCTTGAACCCACCAAACATTTCCCCCCAAAAATGGGCAAAAAATGGAGGGAAGATGGGCTTTTTTGTAAATTGGCTATTTTACCAACCACTCTCTTTAATTATATAATTTTTAGTATTTACCACATAATATAATTAGAACTTAACTTATTAAGTTTGATTTTGTATATGTAATGGAAGATTTAATAATTAAATGTACATAATGAAAAAAATACATATAATTTCTAGTTAGATACACATTAAATAATTACATGAACAATTTCTTTATAAGAAAATTTTATTTTTGATTTTATTTCAATAAATAATACAATAAAACATGAATTTTGGTTATAAAATTTGAAATATTTAATATTATATCTTTGATTGGAGTATTTTTTATTTAAGTATAACATTTTAAACTTAAAAAGGGTCTAAATATTATATACTTATAAACTTAAGGGTAAATATTATATACTTATAAAAAAAATCATGCATTTTGGTTTATTTTCTTTAATCTTATTCATGTAATTAGATGTGAGGGTATAATGGTAAATTTGGTATATATATATTTTTCCTTTCCATCCAATACCAAACAAAGGAAAATACATTCCTTCAATTTTTCATCTATCACACCAAACATAATGAGGAAAAATATATTTTTTTCAACTTTTCATCTTTCCAATTTTTCATCTTTCCTACCAAACAGACCCTTAGAGTTTACTTCTCATGAATACTGATAACAAATATTTTTCACTTTACAAGCTTGCTTTGCAATGTCCCTTTAACTTTTAAAGTAGTCCTTAAAATGCTTGAAAATTTAATGAATGAGATTCACTATAATATCTTGTAAATTTGTTCGAAATAATGTTCTTATTTTGACATATGCAAATACACAAAACACATAACCCAGTTCTTTCCGATAGGTAATTGGGGTTTCATATTATTTTGAACTCCTCCACTATTGAAAAATTATGCGACTCACATCTTAGGCTAACTAAAGGGTTTTCCCATTTTCAACTTGAAAAATGCACATTGAGAAGTTTTGTTCTTTTATCCTAATCCGCAAGCGTAGGAATTGGCTAACTAAGGAAAGTCTAAACATACATTGTTGTGGGTGGATTTTATCAATTTACTCTTTTATTTAACTTTAAAAATCAATTCAAAAATTATAACTGAAAATAGTTTGTGTAACTCACGTGGACATTAACTAATATATATAAATATACGTGAACACGTAAATATATAACAATGAGGGGTTGTTTAGAGTGATAGTTAAAAAACAAATATTGCATAATCGAAAAGATATACTTTGCATAATTTTTTAAAAAACTACTTTCATGTTGAATTTGTTCATTTGAAGTTGTAGTTAAGCCTAACATGAAGGAAAAGTGTAATTATTTGTTTTGTTTTTAAGTGTCACCAATAAATAGTCGATATCAACCAATAATATTTTGACCAAAAGAAAGCCAAGAATTTTGGTAAATCATCGTCAGTAAATCACTGAACTATTTTCTGTTCACGTACCAGACTAATGCTGGATTTTGTGCAAAGACATCTTTCTATGCAAGAGAGCAAATCTATGGGCGGCTCTTCGTGAGATATTCGAACCTCTGACTTACCCCTTATGAGAGGTTTATCAAGTAGTTGAATTACCACTACACTAACCTCTTGGGATTTTCTTATCTTTTTTGGTTAGTAGATATATCACCGATTTTTTTTATTTTCTAATCACATAGCATGATATTGTTGATATAAATATAAACTTAGACAAACGTTGGATCATTTTTAACTTAATTACATATGTACTTTATGTTTTTTTTATAGATTCCTTCATCCTTGTACCGTCATGATTCCTAAAAACTTTGATTTTATTGGTTAAGCCACTAAGCCATTGGTGAAGAGCCTCATTTTCTCATTGTTGTCATCCTTATTGACATTAGACAAATGATTTCCGTCACATTCATTTGTTTTAAGTGCACCTTTTTTTTTTTTTACAACAGATGGAGAATGTTGTGGAGGAAAATCGAATCGTCAACCTCTAAGTCAAGAATAGAGAGATTCACCCACTATATAATTTACGGTACACCTTACATTGTGACACATATACATTGTGATAATTTACTGTAATTCGGTGGATACAAATAAACGGGCAATGAGTAAAATTTTTGGTGACAGTAAAACCTAGAATACAATTAATCAATTTATGAGTTGACATTGGACTACATTTCTGATGATCCAGTATCACCTCGACTAGGGAAAGTGAATGTGTAAAGTGATATATAAGTGTGAACTTTAGACTTTTATTATATAACACGTTTTAAGATCAAACAATATTATACATTGCGAGTCCAAGGTATTACAACATTCCGAGAAATCTTAGACCATCTTGTTCCTGCCATCCACATAGGGTCAAAATTTAGTAGTGATTCCTATGGAGACTTTAAATACCAATAGTATTATTTGGACATAATTTACTAACTTAATTTGTCGCATCTATTAAATTGATTGTGGTGAATACAAAAACTCATTATTGACGAGTCCAGATCCAAACTAGGCTTGAGCCCAATTCATAGATTAAACCCAAATCATCAAAAAAATAGGTCAGATTTAGCTCATGTCTTCAGTCCAGTTCAAAACTCAAGAGTTTAAGAAGAGTCAACGCTCGTGGGAGAGCAATCATTGGAATAATCATTACTTCAGTATAATGCTCATTCTCAATTGTAGCTATCCTCCCTGATAAATTAGTAGTTTGGCTCTTAGAGTCAACGCACGTGAAGAGCAATTATCGAGATAACTATTACTTCAGAGTAGTGTCATCTCCAATTGTAGCTATCCTTCCTAATAAATTAGTAGCTTGAACTTTTCGTCACCGCCTCAACTAGCACTCTGTGCTTATAAATTAAAAACCCTCTTACACCTAAGAGCAGATCTCACACATTACACCTTGAGCATGCTCTTGCTTTCTCTTTCCTATTATCTTGTACTCTCTCATTAATAGAGTTTTCTGGCCACCGTTTATGCCTTTAATTGTTAGATCACTCAAACCCAACCATCCAATTTTTAATTAACTGTTTTATTAATTACTTTACACCACACACTTGACTGATTTAATTGTGCATAGTCAATTTTGTGCATCATTAATTATCATTTTAATAATTATAAGTGATTATATCAATAAATTAACAATACAATAATGTTATATTGACCAAATTTTGAGACCAAATCAATAGCTCAAATGACATGACATCATATTATTTAGAGTCTTTATTGAGATCCAAATGACATGACACCAAATAAAGAAGTCAAAGTCAACTGTTATGTTATTTAAGCTTTTAATTTGGTCAATATAGTATTACTCTTGACTGATTTAATTGTGCATAGTCAATTTTGTGCATCATTAATTGTCATTTTAATAATTATAAGTGATTATATCAATAAATTAACAATACAATAATGCTACATTGATCAAATTTTGGGACTAAATTTGGAGCTTAAATGACATGACAACATATTATTTAGAGTTTTTATTGGGACTCAAATGACATGACACCAAATAAAGAAGGTTAAGTCAGTTGCCATATCATTTGAGCTCTAAATTTGGTCCCAAAATTTGATCAGTGTAGCATTACTCATAAATAAAATATAAATAACATTGTTCTTTGAGTATAATATTCAACAATCACAATAACTCCCAAAAAAATAAAAAAATAAAAAATAAAAAAGGCCACAATTCCAAAGTTATCATTGCCATAGGCACCATTTAACTTGCAACCCTTTTTTCTTTCTTTATTACCTTGTACACTTACATTTTATGGGTATTCTTTAGGACTTTCGTCCCTAATGAAAAAGAATGGTGTGGTCTGCGGCTATCAAGTCTTTCGGCGGGCTGTCTTTGACACCTTTACAGGTTTACATTACTCTCCTTTCAATTTTCAGCACTTTGTGATGACTTGAGCCAATGAGCCTTTGTTATAAAACTCAACAATCTTTGCCCTTTTTTTCTTTTGAAGGGGAGTTTAACAAGCTACAATATACTATCGGGTTGGGTTGAGGACAAAAAATAATCTGTTTTATTTTAAATTTGGGTAATATTAGTGTTAAGATTTTGTATTTTCAGAACTAAACGGACTTTATTGGTTCAGTTCGACTCAAATTGAACTTCAAATGTCGAATGGAATAGTGTGATGCTAGAATCTAATCTAAATCAAAACCGAATTTCAATTTAAGAATTAAACCAAATTTTTATCCTAACTGTATAATCTGAGTTTAATATGCATTTAACGTTTGTAGTATATAACATTCAGGTCGAAGTGTTTGGACTGAATTTGGGTAAAAACTTTATAGCTTACATTGAACCTAACTTGTCTCACGGCTCACCGGATTCGTTCAAGTAGGTGGGATGGGCCTCAACTGCTTAGACCATCTAATTGTTTTTGGAGTTCCTTTGATTATTCACAACTTTTTTCACTATAGTCTAGATTTATACATTGAAGAAGAAATAACAATAAAACAATTTTGACAATAGCAATTTTCTAAAATATTATTATGGCACATTTAGTCTATAAATACGGCCGGATAAGGTTAGTTTTTCGGGTAAATTATAGTATGTTTCCTTTTTTTAAAGTATTGTTGATATGGCCTCGTAATACAATTTCTTGTGTCCAACTAAGCCTTGCTGACACTTAACACTAAACAGCCTATAAGAACAAAGGCAACTCTAGTCCTTCACCGAACTACTTGCTTTTTTTCCATGCACATATGTAACTAACAGTCATCTTATTCTACAAATTTCTTCACAGTTCTTACAGGGATCAAGAGCTTCAGGTGCAGAAAGCCTTCCTCCTGTGCTGCAATGGACATCAGAAATTGGCACAAATTGCGCAGCAAAAGCATTCGATTAGGCCAAAAATGTATACAACCAGAATATGATTCACACTCAAGGTGGCTGGTCTTTTGGAGAAAAATCAAGAGAGTGAAGATGAAAAATTCAAGTTCTTCTGTCTCAATGCAGACTTCATATGATCCAGACACTTACTTGAAGAATTTCGATGAAGGTTTGGGACAGGCAGAGCCAGATTGTCTCCACAGGTCCTTCTCAGCTCGTTTTGCTGATCCATCAAGGAGATTCTACAAGAATGAGTTGTGGATTGATGTTGAGAAATGACAAAGCAGTGTGCCTGTGCTCTCTCTTTTTTTCTTTTTTCCTGCGAATTGAGGTTTGATGTTCATATGTACAATTTTCAAGAACCATAAACTTTGAGATGTAAAATTGATTGCTCCTCTTTTTTTTCTCTCTCTCTCTCTCTCATTTTTCTTTTTGGGTTTTCTCTTTCAATCGAGAATTATGCTATGTAAGTGATCAAAATTTCTCTTTTTCCACCTCTGTTGTCAATTATTGAGGCTGATCATAGCTGAAAGTTGGGGAGAGTCAAGCATCCTCCAGTTTAGTCTAAAGAAAATCAAGCCAAAAGATGATACTTTCCTTGTTTTTTTTGTTCATAAGATATATCTTGTAGAAAATCTTAGAAAATTAAAACCCTTTTGAAGTTGAATCAAACACCTTTCAATCAAACTCAAAATCCTGTAAATGATTCTAATTTGAATGAAGCAAGCAAAATAGACCCATTCATGCACACAAATACATCCATTACTCTTTAATGTAGATTCCCATCATACAATCAAACCAAGAAAGATTGTGTTTAGTACATCTTGTTCCTTACATTAGATAAAGAGGATAGCTTGAAGATGCTTATAAGACTTAAAGGGGCTCATGGTCTGTTTCATCATCTATACTTTTTTCCAATTAAAGTGTTAGGCACTACTGATGAAAGCAGAAGGAATCTTGCAGCATGTACTTTCATTGATCTTTTTCTATTTACATGCTCTGAATGTCCTGCTAACTTTAATCACTCCACTGTAATACAGTGTCATTTGAATGTAAAATTTAAATATTTAATTAATTTTTAACATAGAATATCAATACCAATGACAATTATTCAGCCTATTTGATAGATACGAAACCCAAGCACGGGGGTGTCAGATTCACCATTAGAACTATTAAGCTAACTTGTTCTTTTCGATATATTAATGATATTTTGTATTTCCATTTGACTCGCTGATATGTAAATCTGGAATAGAATAAGCTGGTAGAGAGTTTAAATCAATAGGTTTTGGTCACCATTGTTGAAAATTACTCATTCTGCTGCTGAATAATTAAGCAAAATGGATTATATAAAGAAAGGCAACGATCATGACTTTGACCTCTGTTGCATGTGACATCGGCTCCTGGTGTAAAAAAAATAAATCTAATTCTACTTTTTTTTAACCTATCGCCTCATTATACGTGAGCAAAATTTAGTTCTTAAACAATCCATAGCTGAGAATTGAAATGCTGGCTGCAGTATTCTAATCATAATCTCCCAGCCTAATTCTAAATTAATTGCCTCCCACCTCTTTAACTGATAATGTATTTCACTCTTTCAAGTGCAAGGAAGTTGAGCTAACTTTCTTTTATTTCTGAGGTCTGATTGCAGTGTTCTAGCCCTTTCAGTACCAGTTCATTGCCTACTTTCCACTGAAGATATATGATCAATCCACATCACAGTTCAAAGTATCAATCCAACAGTCAGATTCACAAAGATATAAGAACTGCATCCAGTTATCATCTTCCATTTTAAGCAATCACTATCTAAGCAAACTCTACAGAGTACAAATTCTGCTACTATATGAGTTCATTCGCTCAGTAACATCACAGTTCAGACAGCATTTAACGACTTTTTCTCCATTCGTTCTCACATCCTTTTTGGCCTTCCTCTGGTTGCCTCAAAATCATATTACTGCAAACCGATGCATTATTTGGTCTTCGTTGCTCAATGTATATGAAACCTCATCCACTGATATTCTCTTATATCCCACAGTTGCTACTTCTGACTCTATTTCTAAGCACAATTACTGCTTGTTATATGGTTACTTGTTTCCCATTAATCAATCTAATCTATGTCTTCCCAGAATTGTTCATTTTAAGCACTACTAATCCTAGTTTTTTTGTTTTTTTTTTTTAAAACTAATCCTAGTTGAGGTGAGCTTTAATTCTTTGAATTATCTGTCTGTCATACACAAAGGTACAATTACCTGTCATACATCTACCTTGTTATGCACACCTTGTTAGCCAAAATTTATACATTGTATTTTGGATCTCTCTGTTATATTCCTGTTTTGTTGTATGTAGATAAGCTTTAACTTGCATTCTAATTTTCGTATCTAAGACTCCATTTCTACTGTTACTCTCTTCATTCTCTTCCTACATCCCTATGTTAAGCCCTCTTTTACTAATTGGCTCTGTGGAACATTTTATGAACTTTCGCAGGCTCATCTTCATACCAACTTCAAGACCCAGAAGATGGTCTCATATTCTTGCTATGCATCTCCCCTTCAGCGTGAGGATGACTTCAAACAATCCATAATCACTGTATGTGTAATTCTAGACATTTTATGGGCATTTACAAGCAAGTTGACATCAGCATACTGAAGTTTTCCACATTATCAAAAAAAAAAACTAAATTTTGAGAGAACCAACAAGCTTAAGATGCGACACATTTGCAAAATGTGAAAATTCAGTTTGTGGGAGCAATTTGGGAAAAAAGTGTTAGAAATCAGGAAACAATCTCAGGAACACCATAACACTATGGTTGTTTAAGATTTTAATTAAAAAATAATAATATACACTACCATAGGTAATAAGTGCAAACATTAGCAACAATCCTTAATTTCATTGAACAATGTGGATAATATCAGGCTTCTTAAAATTAATAAGGAGTCCATAAAAAATTAAAAAGAAAAAGAAAGCCAAAAAAATGGTTCTGGGGCTTTACAACTGAAATTTAAATCCATTTGTACTTTTGGTATGACTTCCCTGATGCAATTGCCATTCGAGCAACATGCACACAGCTACTCATCACAATTCCTTACTCAAATAATAAAATCAAATATCCTGCATTTATCCTAATCCCATGTCAAAAAGATGTAGAACTGAATTCAGAAAAATGTGGTGTAAGGGAGGGAGGAGAAATTACACAATCACAACGACAGTACTTTATAATCAGACACTCAGAATTTGTAAAATGGAGGTAAGTACCGGGTTCTGTCAATCCATGAGCTCCATTGGTTCTACTAGATAACTAACTTGTAGCCAGTTTAGATATCCATGACTGATAATTGATTAAGTGTCATCAATCCTCTAAGAAACAGATTATTGAAATAAAAATGCAAACAAATTGGTAAGTTAAAAAACTAAAGTTCCAAGATTTATGACATTTCAGGATTTATATAAAAATTTAACACAGTTGTAAGAGCTAAGAGCTTTCTTCAAGAATGATATTTTGATGGTTTTTTGTCATATGAAATCAGATAAAAAAAGCTGTTACAATTTTACGCTGATGCTGGTTTGCTGGCTCCATGCTTACAGGGAACTACTTGGTTTTGATTCTTCAACTCATCTCCAGCCACCAGAAAGAATGCAGTGTGCCTATACATAAAAAGAGAAATGAATAACATATTTTATGAAACAAAAAGGGGTAATCAATATAGTAAATATTTCTGACACAGTAGTCAGGCATGAACATTTTCACCTGAAAAAATTCATCATTTTGATTTTCGAATCTGTGTCAATCTCTGTGATGCTGTTTGAGGCTTGTTGCATGTGATGTAACCACCTTTCTGCAGCTTGATGAGTGACAGGAAATGGGCGGTGTCGGCCAATCAGAGCCGGATGCCCTAAAGAAAATCATAATTTCAATATCAAAATTATGGTTAACCTCAATCTAACCTCTAAAATTAAACAATAGCAAATAGTATGAGGCATTTCAAGCCCGAAAGCTGAGGCTTGGCTTAATAATTAATCTTGAAATGAATAAAAAAATTGCACCCTTATATTACATAAACAGCCTAACAGGGGGGGGGGGGGTTGGGCACAGGGCCATAAAACTGAAGCCAACACGATCATACTGCCAATTAGAATAACAGAACCAAATCAAAAGGCATATCATTAGAGCTTCGGTTCTCAAGGCTTGGTTACTGGTAGTAAACTGAAGGAGAGCACCAAACGAACTCCTAGTATTGTGGATTAACAGCATATACCAGTGTCTACCTTTTTAGTCAGCTTGGACATAAGCATTGACCAGTTTGGATTCACTGATGTTTCAAATTGCATAACTTAACCATACCTCTCCGAACCAAAAAGAAATCCAAGAAGAGAAGAGATTCTAGATATAATGAGGAGGAGGAAAGAAAACAAACATATTAAAAATTGGATAATGAAAGCAATGATCAGAAGGAATCGAATGGAAATCATAGAAAGACACAACGAATTCTTAAGAAAGATGACTTGAGGTTGTTGATGATCTTCACCCACTAAAGAAAGAGGGTATGCTAAACCTCTGGCTGGAAGCCAAATTTCTGTGAAACAAATAATCGAAATAAAGTAAAATTATATCAAAGAACAGAAAGAAAGGAAAAGTAAGGTTATATCCATGTCAGACTCCTCAGTAGTAAGTCAAGAGTAATGGCAACACATCACTGCTATAGATTGATGCAACTCAGACCCTGACACAACCCTATAGCAATATGACCCATCTTTCTCTTACGTTGTCTCTGTTTGTCCCACTGGACTGACCCACAAGGCAATGTAGCATGACCACGAATCAGAACCCATTTCAGAATAGGAATCCCAAATCGTAGTTTCAAGAGGCAGTTATGCCACATCTATTGGAACTACAAAGTTATTCTGCAATTATTAACCTATGTAATTAGCACAAGGAACCAGGCAATACTGTTTATCAGCAGCAGACATCAACTAAATGAGCATGAAAACAACAACAGAAAAGCCAACATTCGGTCCTTCTATCATTTGGTTGGCAAAAACCACCAGTTGAAGCTATCTATGCTACTTGGTTTCACAGCCTAGAATATTTGGTTTCTGATAAGCAACAAAAATTTTATTAGAAGAATAGAGAAAGACATCCCAGCAAAGATCCTCACAACAAAACCAATATAGAAAACAGTAAAATAAATCAAACTAAGTCATCATTATAAGCCATAGAATGATCTCCAATTGGACAAAATATAGAAAAGACAAATATAGAAAAGAGTAAGGCCATCAAACTTCTTGGTTACCAAGGCGCACAAAGCCAAAAGAAAAAGCAGTCTATCACAATAAGCAATCATCAAACTTACTCTTATCATCAGACACTACAGTATTTCCCTCCAATCAATGACCCAGAAAGCAGCCAAAATCGCACATTAACAAGAGTGATAGCATTATTGTCCCTATCAAAACCCCAAAGATCATCCACAAACATAGACACACAATGTCTAGGAATCACTCAACTCATTTCTGCATGCTGGAATAACTTCCACCACAATCCCAAAGTAACCGGACAATTCACAGCCTAGCAATCCTACACCTTAAGTCCCTCGAAAAGGTCAAGGCCCCTGACATGGGACTTAAAGTGTTCTGGTAAATGGCATAAGTCTTCAAGTTGGACAATGTCTGTTCATCCCCTATATAGCTATGCCTGATCCATTGGGGTGGCTCACCTCAACATTTGTGACAAGTAATTTATGATATGTGGTGGCAGCTTTTTTATAAGTGGGTGTGCAGCAAGCCCCCCTGGGGGCAGGGGAATTGGTTGTGAAAGGTAAGGCATACTACCCCAGGCTAAGCATCACAAACTTTTCAAAATCAAGAAAACCTCACTAGAAGCAACAATCCAACAAATAATGGAAATAGACCGTAGGAAAAATAGGATGCATTCCTCATTTAGCTCATTTCGTATAACGTAAGAAGTACGGACACGGATACAACAAGACATGGACATGATAAAAATCAATTACTTTATGATAAGTAAATGTTATGTATGTTATTATTATATTTCGAGTATAACTTTAATATGTTTAGTCTTGGTAATTATATATTCTCTCATAATATGAAATCCTTATGCATCGGACATAATATGAAATTTTTAAATTTTATTAATCACATGTCATCACATGTTTATTGTTTAGTAGTAGATACGGTCTAAAGAAGTGTCGGACACGTATCCAAAATTAAGATTTTATCATTTAATTATAAACACAAATAAAAAAACATCAGACACGTGTTCGAGAGTGTCGGTGTTTAACACAGATACATCATCTTCTTGAGAGTGTCCGTCCTTCGTAGCGTATAACAAGTATTAACACAAAGACTAACATTTCCTTTGCAGATTGTTTACTTTGATTTTAATAGAACAACCAATCTTTGTTAGACAAACAAGATTCCAATGAGTTCCCGGTCAAATACTCAATACACAAAGAAACTCTGGGAATCACTGACCTATTCAGTGAGTTTGGCACCGAGCAAACAAGTGGAATGAAATCCATAAGGTTTCTGATCAAGAAAATGCACACCCTAATACATCAGATCAATCGCCCAAGCCCAGAACATCAAAAGATTCTCAAACATAAGATTTTATGCTCTGAACTTTGATTGTGGAACAGAACATTTTTCAGTTTCCAAAGTAATTGTATGGGCAAAAAAAAAGTAAAATCAGTATGGGAACTATTGATAATTTATATTGCCATTCAAATATGTCTTAGAGCCGTGAAAGAGCTACCAGATTTCACATTATCAACCAAGTAACAGCTGCATTTCGGGCCCTACGAATAATGTTTAACTGAAGATTAATCTCTAACCTTAATAAAGAAACTAATTCAAATAGATGGAGGCCACAACTTTGCGCTAGCGTAAGACAGAAAAAAAAATTAGTGGGTCAATTAAAGGACCAGGTTACAAATAGGCATACCATATAGTAAGAAGAGAGACAAACAAAACCACCCTCTTATCTATTTATCCTCGTATGAATATGATAATGCCACAATTGAATTATAAACAAACCTTAGCTCACCTTTTCTCTGAGAATACAGAGGGGGGCCTCCCATTCTCTGGACAAAGAACTCATATTGGTTCTGAATTGCATCTTCTTTCCTTGAATTCCCAAAAATTGATCTAAACCACTCTTCTTCATCATCATAAACCCTGAAACTCAAAACCATCATAACTCAAATTGAGCCAAAGATTCAAACTTCCTTTCATCCCTTCTCTTTTCTACACTTTCTGAGCAACCCATCAATTCAAATTGCACAAACGTTACATAGTTATAAAGATTTGAACTTTCTGTCATTCCCTTCCCTTCCCTTATTCTACATTTTCACAGCAACCCATCAATCAATCCTAATTACAGAAACAATACATACAGACGTATATACAGCTATACAAACACGCACAGAACACACATATGCTAGAAAGACTACACAAAAGACATGTACATATGTGTACGGACATACCTGTTGTAGAAATTAGTGGAGAGATTGATGAAGGTTTGGAGACCCAACTTCTCAAAGAGGTTGGTCTCATCAATGGCGAAAGCGTCGCTGGGATCCACCCCGCTCAACTCGGAGGCCTTCTGCTGCAGCGATTGCATCTCCCTCTCCCTTGATTGTGTAGCTCTGCTCCAGCTGAAGTGGCTTCGAGGTGATGGTGTCGCGTTGAAAACCGGCTTTGGCGTGTGGGTCTGTGGGGCCACGACAGTAACGTGGCAAACTGTGTGTAGAATTTTTTTTACGAATAGGACCTTTTTTTTGGGGTCAAGTTTACGAATAGAACCGAAAGATGCTGTAGGTGGTACCCTTTTCGACCAATTGTGTATGAGACGAGGATTTTTAAGCCGGTGGTTTTGGAGGTGGAATGAAACTGTGGGCTGTGGTAGTACGGTAGTCGATCGGTTCGGGTAAGTTCGAAACCCGTTTGGTTAATCTGGTAAATTTTGGCCCGAAATATGCTTGAAACGGGTTGATCTCGGGGCATGCACGTTTTAAACCAAAAATTAGTGACCTTGAAAGATTTTAAAATTCTAATTTATATATTAAAAGTTGGTCCCTAAAGTATACATATTTTGTCAGTTTAGTCTCTAAAATATTAATTTTATCAATTTAGTCTTTAAAATATTCAATTCGTATTTACATAATTTCTACATAGACGAACTGTTAAATTTTTTATGAAATGATCATGTATTGGATACATAAATATAGTCTGAAAAAATGACACGTGATCACTTTTGTCAAAAAATTTAACGAATTACCTGATTAGGGACTAAAGTGACACGAATTAAACTTTAGGGATTAAATTGATAAAATTAATTCAATAATAATTAAACTGACAAAACATGTATACTTTAAAGATTAAAAATGCTATTAACCTATAAAATTTTTACATTATACTCTCAATACAATCAAAATATAGGTTGTGTTTAGATCGCGGATTAAAGAGGGATAACACCAGTAGGATAGGAGAAAAAAATATGTGGAGCCCATTTATCCCGTGTTTGGTAAGTACAAAAAGTGTATCAAAAATCTCACTTAGGTTTATCCCGACTCGGTTTAAAAAGTTAACTTCAACTTATCTATATGAGTTAAATAAAACCCATGGGCGGCTGGGATAATTTAGCTACCAACCAGATATATCATTCTAATGACCCATTTGCCCTTTTTCATTATGTTTTTCTCTAGATTAGGATGTTTTACCATGAAACATAGATAAGTTTACCATTTAAAATTATTATATGCCCTTGAAATCATATGTAAAACGCAATTCTGTGCGATGCAATTCAAATGCCCAAGAAACTACCTTTCCTATGAAAATGGAGATTGAATTGCAGTAGAGGGTTTATATTACTTAGAAGTTGATAGGTTTGGCAATTTTTTTTTTTTTTTTTGATTTTGAGTGATAACAAAAAGTTTAGCATTTTGAAAAACCTTTCTTGAACATTTATTGCACAATATTGAATAATTGGATTCAATGTTTAAACTTGATATTGAATTTTATTTGATTTGCTTATTTTTGAAAGTGTCATTTAAGGTAGGATTGGATATGTTAAGGAACATAATAGTTAAAAGATAGTATAATGATGCTCCTTACATCACTTTTGTCTATGGGCCCTACAAATGTGAAAGTGTCCTTTCTAATTCAATCTAGCGATCCCAACACACCCATAGTACTGTGTGTAGATATTCACCAAAATTTATTTTGCAAAAATGTGCATTTTGAGGATTGTGACTGAGAAGATTACGCGAGGCTTAGACATTTCATTATGGTCGAGACATTCAAGTAAAACTATACATAATATCAAAGAAAGATTTTTGATGGAGAGATCTGTTAAAGGAAATGAGTATTTAACCGTGAAATTATTTAAAGTCTATAACTCGAGTACTTGTAGATTAACTTTGAGATAGTGAATTAGATTTTAGTGAACCTCGAGTAATTCTTTACGGTTTTTCCTCATTGGATTTTGACTTCAACAATTACTTGTGTCGTTTATTGCTTTAATTTTGTTTATACACTTGCAAATGATGCACACACACATGTTGTGTCTTTAATTATTTGTTTACTTAGCTTTTAATCCGTTAAAAATGGTTTTGGTGATTGTAGCTTTTATTGAAATTGAAAGTGTTATAGATTAGTTAGTTGTTGATTGTATATTCATTCATCTATTTACACTCATAATAGATTGTCTTTGTTACAAAAGAGTTCTCGCATTCAGGATAATTTGATACCAAAATAGTCTAACAATAATTAACCCCCATTCAACCCACGTCACTCAGTTTATCTTGATTGAATGTACCATCTTGAAATCCAAAGTCTTGTGATGCATCTCATCACTCGTCTTCTTTCATTGGTGTTTGAATCATTAATAAATCTCCCTCATATGATGTTATAAAATAATTTATTCTGTCCCACATTATCTTTCTAGATTTAATTATAACTTTGAGTACCTTTGCTTACATGAGTACCTTTGCTTACATCTATACACATAAGAGCACCTGAATTATTGACACCATGGAGTTGACCTTTATGGTAGATGAGGTCAAAGAATACATAGTCTTTTTTTTAAGTTCACGACTGTCCACACTTTATCACCGGATTTGAAAGATGTCAATTTTCTCATGTCACCTTAAATGACCATAACTTCATAATTATTTGTATCTTGAGACGGATAAAAAGACAATATACCTTTATGGGGAAAATATTCATGGTTACCAGCTGTGCGTGTAAGATCTTGCACAATATAAAAAACGAGAACAAATCTCTCCCTTGGTGAACTCGAGTGAGTCGGTTGAGTGACCAAACACGCTGCTTGGAACAGCATGCAAGGTACGGTGGTAACCTGGAACGGCAATGGGAGATCCTGGGAACGGAAGAACGATCCAGTAAGGCTGAAAGAGGTTCCTGGAACAAAGAAGAATAAGTTAGAAGGGCGCCGGAGTATTTTTCGGCGTATCCCCTCCGACGATCTAGTCAGTCTTTGAGAAAGAGAGAGGAAGGAGAAAACACTGAGAATGTATTGTAGTAAAGAGTTTTTTGTTGCATACCCGTCTTGCCTTTTGCAAGGAGTATTTATACCTCAAAAGCTCATGATTGCTGTCAGTGTAGTCAGTAGGTGATCATTAGGTACAGGCAGTGTGTGCACTGATTCTGATGAGGAATGTCTTCTCTTCTTAACTGCTCGGGGTCCCGAGCAATCAATGCTATGTCATCGGGACGCCGACGGTACAATGTACTCCTCTCGGGGAGGATGCAATAAATGCTCTGTATTAGGAGCATTTATTTCCTTTCATTTCCGAGCCTTACCGCATTGAAAATTAATAGTTTGCTTTCCCAAGTCGCGTGTCAGAAACGGCATACGGTTTCTCTGTCTTCGATGTGATATCATATGCCACGCGTCCATCCCTTATTGGCTGTGACCTCTGCATTCCTGTACGTTCTGACACTAATTGTGTAAGACGAGGTCATGATGAATAGCCTAGGCTAGCCTAGGCTAATGACCTGTACGTCAATAGCTTATCCTGGAGTAGAGGAAGCGTCCAGGACGGGGTACCTCTCGGTACCGAGGAAAGGCTCATCTCGGGGACCGAGGGAGGTATGCCGACCGAGGTACATATCAGACCGAGGCCACGTGTTGGTTGTAAAACATACTGAATGCATGATCATATATGACGAGTACCTCGGGGGCGAGGACCTTTGCGCCGATGGTGCTTGATCTTATCAACAGTGTTTTGGTCATACCGAGGATACGTGTCTTCATCATGGAGTATCTCAGAAAAGTCCCATCAACTGCCCCCCAGCCTCCGATCTTCTGACACCGAGGACACGCGTCGTAAGGAGACGAAGGGTTTCCCAACAACCACCTGTGCTTCATCATTGCCTCGAGCCACTTTCCCCGGCTTGGGATGTCGTGCGCATTAAATGCGCCGTTTCGTTTTTCGCGCCCAATGATGAAAATTGCCTCTATATAAAGGGGGCTCCTCTTCCGGTTTCCCTGTTTTGCCATTCCGAACTTCCTCAAGAGAGCCTCTTCTTGAATCTTCGCCGGAGATTTGTTTCTTCTTCCATCGTCAATTACCCATTCTTCCTTAAAGTCTTAAAGCCAGCAGACCCATCGTTGCTTCTGAACTTTCTGGAAGGAGTCGCTTTAAGGTTTTCCAGAAAAAACTTCGTTTTGACATTCGGGTGAGTTTCAGAATCCTCCTTCTTTTCTTCCTCCTATCCTTTTGTTTTTCGATAACTAGAGGTGTCTCCGGTTTGATACATAGCGATTTAACCCTCGGGAAACTTCCTCAGGGATTTTCAAGAACAAATACCCTCTTCTTTCTTACTTTTTTAGAGATGCCTCGTCGTTGCCCTGCTCCCGAGAATCCTCAGGCTGGTCCTTCGGGGTCGGAAAAATATAAAGTAAAGGGTGGTGAGCAGATTGATAGGTTTAAGATCAAGTATGACATTCCCCCGTGCGTAGACGTAGAGGATTATGACCCTGTGGTGCACTCTTCTACCCTCGGGGCCGAGGATGCCATGCCCTTTTTTACTAAGGCCATAATAGAGGGAGGAATTAGGTTTCCTTTACCCCCCTTACTTCTTCAGTTCCTTTCTCACTTTCGCCTCTTCCCCGGGCAATGTTGCCTTAATGTTTTTCGAATAATTATGGGGGTTTTAGAGCTCAATAAGCGCCTCGAGGTAAATATTGGGCTCAACGATCTTCTTTTTTGTTATTCCCTCCTAAGAGTCATGCCTCACCAACACTTCTACCTCAAGGCCAGGGACCCCTCCATGTACCTTGTAACTCATCTTCCCGACTCGGACAAGGGGTACAAGGATGATATTCTTATCTTCAAGGGATCTTGGCAGAGAGGTGTTGGTCCCGACTATAATGACTTGTTATGCCCTCTGAAATGGAGAACGACAAGTACGTCGGTTCCTTTGGGTTTATTATTTCTTTCTCCAGACTTCCCATGTTCATGACTATTTTGTTTGTGCAGATATTCCTGCTCGGGAAACAGCTCCTCCCCCTCGGTCGCTGGTGAACTTTGCCGACCTAATCACTGTTTGGAGATTCACGGGTGACAACGAGTTTGGCCAAGCTGCTCACATCCT